ATATGCTAGTCACTATTAGCACTGCCCCTACAGTTATGATTATATACTTTTTCTTTTTCTCCATTTTATCCATTCTCACTATGTGCAGATAAAGCTATTTATAGCTTATAATTGTGGTTTTCTGATAGCTTTTTCTGATAATTTTATTGATAAGCAGAAGCCACCAATTATTCTCAATTTCCACAGATTCTACGGAGCAAAGTTCATTAAGAAGCTATCCAATGGCCAATAGCATACCTTTCTGCCAAGCACACTCTAATATCTATTAAGAAGGGATCAAGGCAACTGCACTAATTACAGGCCTTTCCCAGCAGTGAACCATAACATTCTCTAGGATGCATTGTCAAGACAGCTAGTTTTGGGAATATAATACTAAATATTCATTCATTTATTGATAGTTGTGTAGTTTGTATTTAAACAATGCCAAGTATTCTTCTATGAGCTCAAGAAACTATAGACCCATCTATTCGCCCTTCTTCTTTAACTCAGCATTGCATTAGATGCTGGATATAAACCAAACATACAGCCCATTGTCAATAAACTAAAAATAATTGTTGCCAACTAAAATAAAACCCAAGATGAATTTATTAAAATTATTGTAAATATAGAGCTCTTGACAACAATAAGGCATTAGACAGCAATAAGTTTGAAGAAAAGAGCTCTAATAAACGATCCTATTAAGAGCAAAGAGCTCGTTTATCTTCTACATCCAATGCAACTCTTATTTCCTGCATTTCTTTTTTAGTTGCATTATAAAACTGCGGATCCATGGCTTTTGGCAGACTAAAATTCTTTTTTAAAGAATGCAGAGGCTCAAGAAATCTTTCCACCTTTTCTTCAACTGCCGAATACTTTTTATAGTATTCTTCTTGCACTTTTGTTAGAACAGCGTTATTTTTGAGCTTTTCTGCTATTTTTTCATATAAATGTTTGTGGTGCAAAACTTCAAAGTATATACCCGTGTAAAAACCGTATACTGTACTTTCATCAGGGCGATCTAGCTCGTTGCTGTTTTCTGCTTTGTCTTGTACTTCTGAAGGATTTTGTTTGCTATGTGCATTGAGCTTATCTGGTAGTTTTTCCTTACTGCATGATGTCAACTTAAATATTCCAAAGATGCACAGCCCGCCTACTAATGTAAACAATACTGCTGCAAGATATATTTTGTTTTTCCTCATAACTCCAGACAAAATTTTTATATTTTTTTATGTATGGATAAGACACATAAATAGATTGGTAAACTAAACCAATAGAATGGCAACAGTAGGCATATGATTTTTGGCTCTACTTATTTATATTTGTGTATATTTTCTGGCTTTAGCTGTAAAAAGAAGCTAAGCAGCTGGTAGGCTGAAATTAAAGCTGTCTACAGAAGAGTAAATACAATGCAAAAGTTTCAATATGAAGGCTTCCACAAACTCAAATAGTGTTTTGTTGGTTGAACAAAAATGCTTTTATTATTTATTCAGCTAGAACTTTGCTCCATCTGGCTTGCTATCATCTTTATGGATATATAGAGAGCTAAAAAACACTCTCTGGGTATTTTCTTTTTATGCGGCTGTTTATCCTTATTGGAGTATTTCTCCTATGGAATGCGGGGCTGGCTGCTTTATTGGCTGCTTTTTATTAATTTTTAATAATAATTTACTTAAATTGAACAAAGGCTGTCTTTATTTGTTCGTTGAATTAAAATTTGTTGTTTTTTTAATTAGCTGTCTTCTTTTGAGCATATTGAAAATTAATATAGCCAAATTAGGCCTTTTAATTTAAAAACAAAGCTATAAATATATTTGGAATTTAGCAACAATAATGAATAAAGGAAATGCAAAAATAACAGGAATAGTAGTAATCGTAGGAGCTATATCACTGGCTATAGCAGGCATAGGACTCTGTGCTATGTACTACAATAAAAACTCTTACAGTTTACCAAACCATGAAACAAAAAAAGATAATCTACTAAAAGAGAATGCAACTTTAAAAGAAAAGCCAATAAACACTAGCTCGAACATATTAAAAACACTGGATGCAAGCAACCCCGATGGACAAAATAAAAAAGCGAAGGAAGAAGAGCAGACTAACATTAAAAAGAAAAAGCAAGAGAATAAATTAAAAGAGCAATTAACAAAAGAAGAATTAACGAACAAGAAAGCTAAACAAGAAGAGGAAGACCAGGCTAAACAAAAAGCTGAAGAAGCAGAGAGAGCAAGAAAAAAACAAGAAGCAGAAGAAGCAGAGAGAGCAAGAAAAGCAGAACAAGAAGTAGAGAGAAGAAAGAGAGAAGTAGAAGTAGAGAGATTAAAAAAAGCAAAAGAAGAAGCAGAAGTTGAGAAAGTAAGAAAAGAACAAGAAGCTGAGAAAGCAACAGAATCAGAATCAGTAGAAGAAGTAGGAGCAGAAGCAGGAATAGAAGTAGGAGTAGAAGCAAAAGAAGAAGCAGAAGTAGAGAGAATAAAGAATGAGCAGGCTAAACAAGAGGAAGTACAATCTGCACAAGAAAAAGAGCAAGAACAAGAACAAGAAATGATAAGTGAACCCACTGATATTAGCAAAAGTGAGATACAAACAAAAGAAAAAATAGAAAATCCGTTAGAAAATGGATAAAATAGTACTCTACCAACAGCTTAGAAACACAGCTCATTGCCTTTAATCTTCAACCAGTCTACTAAAATATTTAATAAAATTTAAATTATTTTTATTCTTTATTCTATCTCTTCGACAAGAA